ATTGCGTGACAAATAATTTGAAAAACTTAATGTTCATAAGAGGCAGAATAGTGTGAGAGTATATAAATTATAATAAATTAGTGAAGAGATGTATAATTCGAGTTTGGAAATAAACCAGGAATTTTATGATCTACGAGTAAAAGGAAATTAATAACTTTTACTAGTTTGATATTAAGAAGATATTTAGATTAACACTATACCTTTACACTATACATTATGTATTAATTGAAATATTTATTTATTAATGTATTTCATAATATTTGGTTTTTTTTTATTATATTATGACATGTTCCAAAAGTACATACAATTAAAAATTGATTGTATATTCAAGAACTTATAGCAGTCTTTCTACAAAAAGTTTCCATTTGTTTCTATATCGTGCCATATATCTAAGCTCGTAAAACGATTTGAATGTTTTGGTGATTAATGTTTGCCTTTAAGTTGTCATTACTCTTTTTTTGATTCAGCAAAGTTCCATTGTAACGCCCAAAGAGCTATACTACGCGTAACTTTTGTTATTTTATGACCGAGCCAACCATATCTTCTCTTTCTCATATCATTTAGTAAGCTCCATTTTGTTTGGTAATCTCCAAAAGTCTGGCATTAGTAAGACATCACTAATGCCTTGCCGTTAACATCGTCCAGGCATGTAAAGTGAAAATTCATTTCATATTAATAAGGATTTAATCAATATGTTTCACAGTACTTTACACGCATCAGCTAATTTAAATTAACAAGGTTGATGTGCAGTTATATATATGATGACATTATATATATAATGTAACCATATATAGCAACATACTTAAAAGTTTAAATCAAGATAATTTTATTGTTATTTATTAAATAATAGGCTATTATTGCACCACGATTTAAAAGATCTATTGAGCGCCTAAAAGCCTAGCTAAAATAATTCTAGACTATTAATAAATCTTGTAATTGCTATGAACTTAATTTTACCTATTTGATTTGGGACCTAGATCCCCCTTTCAAGGTAGCTAAGTCTATGTCTTGCCATCGCTGAGCAGTTGCTTAAAACATGTTCTGAATTTTATTGGTAAAAATGTTCTGCATCGCCTCCCTGTTCATATTATATTTTAATCAATTGTTTTGTTTCTTCATATTCACAAACAGAAGTGGGCGGTGTACATGGCATATAATCCAAAATCCAACTCCCTACCATCTATTCAAGTTAATTTAAAACATTTCTGCAAATAAAGCTTAACAGATGTTATAGATCGTATTAACAATAATAATATTAATAATTTCATAGTTCCAAAAGTTTAAAGTATCTAAATATTTTTAAGATTTGAATGTAGACATGGCCGCTTTTAGAAGTTGGTTAGAGGTTTGGAAATTTTGGAGTATTGCATTTCTGAAATTTTAATTATTGTATTTGATAAACATAAATAGGATTGTTAATAAATAATAATCAATTTAAGCTGCTTTTTGTCTTCATTATTGTCTCTGCTGGTTGCAATAAAAAAACTTAACTTTGGTAGGAGTTTTATGAAGCAAGGGTGACATTTTTAATATAACCTTTTGTATATGATTCACCCAATCCAAAAGATAAAATTAAAACAAATATATATAAAATTAAATTTTTTTTAAAATATTGCGTTAATAATTATATTTATCAAAGGTATTTTATATGTTAACAATATTTTACTTCTAATAACTACTTTAAATCCATTTAGTAACGAATTTGCCCTGTGGAATTATTTATGTAGGCAATTTTTCTTTTATAATAACCTTAAAATTCTTAAGTAAATAACCTTAAGATTCCTTAGTAAATTTGACCTACAAAACAATATTAGTACACGTTTTATCGTGTAAGTTCTGAACGATGTCGATTTAGAAAAAGATTTAAATCATTATTAAAAAATTTCAAAAATTCAACCAGATTCGAAATATCAATCCAATGAACATTTACAGGCCCATACAGCCAAACAGGTCTCTTCATTAACCGGTAAATTGATGTTTTAAATTAAATAAACTCTATAGAGAACTTCCGGCTTGTCTCTTTATAAACACACTTTTAGTTTTATATTAAAAGGCCAATGAACCAACGACACTCGTCACTGAAAAGAAGCTCAATAATGAACAGAAGGGCATATCGGTCCGTCTTGTTAAGATTGCAATATGAATTGCAGTTTTAATAGTTGGAAATCATACAAAACAAGCCACAATTTATTGTCATATTAAATTAACTGACTCATTTAAGCGATTGATTATAGAGATACGAGCCTTTGGCGGACAACGAAACGTATACGCATTTTTTGTTTGTTCAGAATTGATTTATGGTTACGTCCAACAATGTACGTTTCTCAGGTACATAATCTGGTTTTTCTTTGTTTTGATTATGGCTTAAATACGCTGAAGTGCAAGACAAAGCAATCGTAAAATGAGAGCAAAACGAGAGTTGAACACAGTTCTTGATAAGCGGAAAAGAGAGAGGCAGTAACTATAAAATGTAAACATTGTATTCTCTTTATAATCAACCCAAAGAAAAATAGGCCAAAGCTTTTATTAGTTAATTTAATAAAACTAAAACCGAAAGTGATTAGTGGTTACGAGGGATGTACTATAAATTTACTTGCAAAATAAAATAATATGAAAATATAATAAATAAATGTTAGTTGACACTTTATTTTATTTCATTTTCTTTATTCTAATTATTTTAAGTCACTATTATATTTAATAGAAACTAGTATATTTCATAAAGAGGTTTTTTCCAGAAGTAGTAACTACAACAACAAAAACTAATTTTTATATATTTTAATTAATTGAATTTTTGGCTGATCATAAAGCTGTTTTGAGTATTGCCAAATATACATCATCAGTAGTCTTAGAAATAAAACTTTGTTTTGTGTTGTCTAATTTTAAAGGATTTTTTAAATTCAATATTTTGGAATTAAAATGAACTAAAAATTTGGGGTCCCAGTGAAACGGAGCATCACTACTACTATTGTCTACTTCCCCCAGTGGAGCACAGGGCCTCAATAATTCTTCGTAATCTGACTGTAATTGGTCCTACTCCATAGATGTCGTTCCATATATATCTTGCTTCAGCTAGCTTACTTTCGACCGTTCTTTTTCACGTTTTCGCACGCGCTCAGGTCTTCTGCTACCTTGTAGATGCTATGCCAATGTTTGCCTCGCTATATAATCTTTCGATTGTCTGAGTGTATGGCCTATCCACGTCCACGTTTTCATATTTATTGCATTTTGTGCTACTTTTTGAGTCGTTTGATTCAGCAAGCGCTCATATGATATTCGATCTGCCCACCATATTCTTAGAATTCTAAATAGATACTTGTTAAAAAACACTTGCATCTTTCTCTCTATATGCCTGAGTGTTTCCGTATTTCTCACCAGTATTACAAGATAGATTTTACATTTGTGCTAAAGATTTGCTATTGGGTCTGCCTTCTGAGTTCACTAGATCGTCATATATTAAGATACGAGCATCAATATTTTTATCACATCCGCACTTATTTGTCACAATGCTTCCCAAGTAGGCAAAAGAGTTTACGCATTCAATTTCTTCTTCACCATTTACATGCAGCCTTACATTTTGAACTCCGCTGTATCAGCTCGCCATGCTTTTTGTTTTTTCAGTACTTATTCTTATACCAGCAGACTCTGTTTGTTCACTTATGGCGGGTATCATCTGCTGTAATTCATCAAATCTGTGACTTAACAGCAGGACATCATCGGCGAATTCTAGATCTTGCAGATACTCATTATTTTTTAATGCTCTGCTGAAGATATCATTCAGCACGAGAATGGAAAGCAATGGTGACAATATACACCTTTATCGCACATCTGTTTTCAGGTGTTTAAAGACTCAGAGAGTTGGTTTTTGTGGTTAATGCGACACTTAGTATTGTTATACTTCTCCTTCAGAAGGTTTATAATCTTTTCTGGCGTGCCCCTTTTGGAGAGTGCTGTCAAAATGTATGATCGGTTTAAACTATCAAAGAATTTTTTGAAATCAAGGAAGGTCACATAGATGATAGCTCTAAACTCCTTTGATTGCTCGAAGATAATGTGAATTGTATTTATTAGATCAATGTATGATCTATTCTTATGGAAGCTATGCAGGTTTCATCTTAATTTTGCTTCCGCTACTGTGGAAATTCTATTTTGTATCATGTATCACTACCATAGTGCTATAGCTGACTCTATGTAAACATAAGATATTACGTCGAATATCTTATGTTATTATTAAGAAGTTCTTGTCTCACTTTAACATCCTTATTCTTATTTTCTTACTTAATATAATCTGTTTATCAAATTAATTAAATAGATTATAAAACATTTTTACGTTAAAATTAAAATTTTTTTTTAAAGCTTAAGAAACTTAATTAAAGCTTTTGTCTTCATCGAAAAAAAATTTATTTCTTATCTGATTTAAACATCTTTATCCTTACTCCCTTATTTAATATAATCTGTTTATCAAATTAATTAAATAGATTATAATACGTTTTTACATTGAAATTAAATTATTTTTTTTCAAAAACTTAATTAAAGCTTTTGGATTCACTGAAAAAAATTTATTTCAATATCCTCAATAATTAGTATGCTCTAAAATTTGAAGCAATAAATTGTAAATCCTATTTTACTTTTAAAATAATCCTTTTCTTTTTGATCCTTATTTTAGAGTAATGATTAAATTTGTCTTTGATTTTTTTTCTAAATTATACTACTTTACTACATAGTATACTATTAGTGTTAAACTATATACGAGTATATTTCAAGTGATTCTTCTTAAATTTAAACTCTACACCTCACCGATTTAAAACAGCTTTCGGTTGTCTGTGCACTGCAGAGGCCCACTAGTTAGGCTTTTGTAACTATTATGCTTTATTGTAAGGCCGGCCAAGTGCTATGAACTAAACTGTTTTTTATTTTTAAAATAAATCTGTGGCTACTGTAAGTTTATAAAAACGATGCTCTCCATGAGCATCGTTTAAATAGCCAAAGTCAGTCAACGCGAGAACACGGCTCCCTCGGCGCTTAGCAAAACATCTTGACGGTTGTGATATTTGTTACGTGGTGTCTACTTTATATGAATGCTAAGCTTGAGGAGTTTTTGTGTTACTTAATTTAAAAAAAAAAGTATTAGCAAATCTAATTTATTTATATTTAAAACTTTTGCAACACGCGAAAAGCACAAAAAATATTTTGTATGTGAAAAATGGCTTTACGCATCTGCAACAGAGTAAATGTCGGTGTGAAATTTGTGCTGGCACTGTTCATTGTCGTTGTGGCCGGTCTGCAACTGGTGTTTGCTGCCAAAGATTTGCGTAAGTTAACTCATTCAGTCATTCACACATTTGCTTGGATGTGATAAAAATTTTCACTTCCTTCAAAAATTTTTACATTTTTGCAGTTAATAATATTAATAATAATAATAAATTAATAATAATAATATAATAATAATGTTATGATGCTTTTGTGTTGCTATTGTATATTCTTTTTTTTTTTTAAATTTAATCCATTTAACTGAAAGTATTATGAGTATCTATATATATATATCTATATATCTATCTATATTACAACATAATTTTTTCAATATCTATGGGAATTGTGAATGCAAAAGTTTATGTAGTGTAAATTAAAATTTTTATTAGTTATTGCTCAGTGCTTAAGTTGGATTCCATTATATTCAGCGCTAGTTCTTTAAATAAATCTATCCAAATTGGCTTCATGCTTAGCACGGCTTAGGAATTTTTGATTTTCGTGGTAGCATGCAAGTTATTGTTAATTTTGGTTTATTGCTCCGTAAAATGTTAAACAAATTACAAAATAAACTAAATACAATTAATTTGTGTGGCATAAATACCAATATATGCATAAATAAGCGATTTGTTAACAATGCATGAATTAATAAATTTTTTTTTTTATTTATTTTAGATTGTTTTTTTTTTCATCAATTTATTTATTGTTTTTTTTTTACTATGTTTTTTTACTATATTGCTGTTACTTACTGCTTAGAAATAAATTAATCGCAATGTCAATATGTTGACAAAATTAGATATAATAAAAATAAAACATTAAAAAATTAAAAAAAAATAATTATCCATATCCATAATTTAAAAAAAAAATTGTAATGATAAGTTTAACAATTAATAAATAAAAATGGTTAAGTTGCCATATTAGTAGTTCGTGTAAAATTAACCATAGAAATGTCCTTCGCAATAAATTTACTTCACATGTTGTAAAACTAAAGTCAAGGTTAAAAAAGTTAAACCAAGTTAAAAAAAAATATTATAAATAAGACATATAAAAAATGTTCTATATTTTAACTAGTTTTCGAAAAAAAATGCGAGATACGACAGCTACAGAAAAAAATAAGATTAATTTATTTCAATGTCAAAAGAATTTTTGCAGGTAAAGAACGACCTTATAATGCGGTTTTAAAGCTTATAAAAATCTATTCAAAAATAAAATTTATTCAATGTAAGAGTATTTCTTTCATGTCGTTTTTAATTTACAAATCTGGGATAACTTTTTCACTCTAGATTTACTCTTAGTACAGTTGTCATTTTCGATTAGTTATTCTCAGGCAAAATGTATAACAGTCGAAATTAATTTATAACACTTTAGATATTTTGCAAGATTAATAAAATGATCCTGAAATTAATAGCTGTTTTATGTTATTTAACAATTGAAATGTAATTGACATATTTATTATTTGAAATATTGTTCGATGGATCACAAAATAATGACAGATCGAGAGAAAATCTAGATTTGCCAATCACAAACAGCATAAGTATAAGCACGGTTTAATAACTCAGAAAAAATTAAAAATTCATTTTAATATATATTCGTAAATAGCTAATTTTTAATTACAATTTACAATGTTTGTCAGGGTATCTTTTAAAGATAATTTAAAAATAGTAATGATATAACGAGCATAAATCACAATTTGATCATGTCAGGAATTCTAAATTGATGCAAAAAAACTTTTGAATTACGCTGAAATATTTAGAAATGTAGCTTAGAAGGGTACGTTTTCGATGCACCCATATTACTACAGACTTTATAAAAACAAATGGTCTTACTAAATGTTATAAATGCATTCTTGAGCATTTTAATGAAAATAAAAGAAACTACCTTACCGGAGAAATAATCTGAACTACAGCTTTAAATATTAACGTATTACAAGAAATATGGCATAATGTATAATAACATTTTAAGTCGCCGATTCTTATATATAGAATATGCGTAGGTATATCTCTAAATTTATATGTAGTACACGCCTTAGTAAATTTCTGAAATCTCATTTTGTGTTTATTTACATTTAGAAGTCGAATATCATTTGGCAAATACATTGTATACTTTCTCTATTATGAACGTTGTTGTCATTTTCTTGTAACCTACAGTTTATCTCATATTCATTTTAAATACTTTTAAGGGTTTGAACAACAAGAGTTGTCTATTATTAGACATTAACCTGTTAGTCTGTCAGTTTAATTTTGTTAAAATTGGTGCTTTACTCCTAATATATAGCTGGAGTATACTATATATAATTTCATTAATTTAAATTTCAAGTGACTTAAAATAGCAGATTTACCAGCGAAATTTCTATTTTCCCTCTTTTTTTGATAATAACAGGACCAAATGCTACCTTCATATTCCCTGTCTTGTAGAATGTACATAGCCGTTACTTGTTTCTGTCAATTTAGTACTTATTTCAATAATAATAATAATGATGTTAATTTATTATTGCCGAAAGTGACGCGTCATAATGACGAAAAGAAACTATTTAAAAGTTAGAGGGATTCGAATAGCAAAAAAAGACAAGAACAAAAATTGTTGTTAATTTATTAAAATTTGGCTGATCATACAACGCTGTTTCTAGTATTTCTCTAAAACTCATCATCAGTGATGTTAATAATAATAATTTATATAAAACAATATACGAAACCATTTTAAATACATTCAAATTAATCTCTATATTAACTGAATTAAGTTCAATTTTTTCACAAAACTTGTTAAGAAAAGTATACGTCTGATAAATGATATATTTTAATATAAGATTAAAGTAAATATGAAGTTTATTAACATTTTGGCCCATTTAGTATAATTTTTAATAACAATTAATTATTTTTAACAAATAATTCAACATATATAACTGTTTTCACATTTTAATTTTTCTTCTACATAAAAGTGTTATACACACAACCGTTGAATAATTTTAATTTTTTCTTGTACACAAAACATTTAAAAATAATAGAATTTCAAAAACAATACTTAAAAATTAGTTATATTTAAGCCATAATATTTTTCTTAAACAGTAATAAATTTAAATAAAGACTAATAAAAATAAGAAATAAAAAATACAAAATTGAAAGTAAAATATATGCCAAAACAATATTTGTGACTAATTTTAATTGTTTCTTCTACACCAAACTGTAATACACATTCAAAGATAAATAGAATTTCGAAAAAACACTTTCAATTTATTATATTTACGGCATAATATTTTTCTTTAAAAGTAATACATTTAAATAAAAACTAAAAAAAATTAAAAATACAAAATTACAAGTAAAATATATGCCAAAGGAATATTTCTTTTATACAACACTGTTATATAAACAACTAATTTTCATTGTTTTTTCTACACCAAACTGTGATACAAATTTAAAGGTAAATAAAATTTTGAAAGCACCATTTTAAAATCAGTTATTTTGGTACAGTAAAATTAAAATATTAAATTTAAAAAAATACTTTAATAAAAATAAGAAATTAAATATAAAAAAAATACAAAATTACAAGAAAAATGTTTGCGAAAATTTTCTCATAAAATTTTATATATTATGTCATATATTTGCTGTTAACAAGTTTTGAGTTATAATGCAAACCAAAGCAACAGCACAAAAACAACAGAAATAACAACAAAAACAAGAAGGTTATTCCACTTTTGCTAATGTAGCCACTTAGTTGCTTTTATCATGAATGTGAATGTGCAAATGCCGTATAATAATATTGGAATAAAATTGGCCGTATATGCTTTATACCATCGAACTGTGCGAAAAGTGAAACGAGTTCCTGTGATTACAATGGAACGTCGAATGTTTTCCCAGACAGCAGTTAGCCATATTGACTTACTTATGTTATCTCACTTCCTAGAAAATAAAAGGAAAAAACGACAACAAGCAATTGTTTAAAAGCCGGTACAAGCAAAATTGTACCCAAACACAAAAACAATTGAACCAAAGTGCGAGACAGAAGGACGCTTGGACAAGAAAGTCAGTCTTGCATTTTATCAGAGTCTGTTGCTCTATAAAATAGAAATACGCTTTCAAATGAACGTAGGTCAAGTTAAACGTTTATTGCAGCAGCTGTCTTTGTTATTGATTTGTTGTTGTTTGTTGTTGTTGTTGCTGCTGCTGCTGCTACGTACTACTGAAAGATAATTGAAATTTAAGATGTTGTGCTTCAACTTGACATTGAACTAAAATTTTTGGATGATTTTGGTGAAACAAGTTTTTTTTCTTCATTGTTCGAACGTCAGATTGGCGCAAGTTTTTTTTAAAATATATCAATTTGGTAATATAAATGATCATTTAAACTTTAATGCTAATGAACTCTTTATGTAAACTACTGTGCACTTGTTAACTCTTTAAACTCTCAAGAGTGGAAGTCTTTTCAAAGGTCAATTAAAAAGTCCTTGTTTATGCGATTATTGGACGTCGCAGTAATGACTTCCTAAATATGTTGTTATTAGTGGAAACTAAATAAGATATACATACCATATATAGAGATATTACCCAATACAAAGTTTTGGTGAAATGATGAAGTATTGCTAAGGATTTATACTTTATTAAGATACAACTACATATATATTTCGTATATATAACCACAAATATTTTTAATAAAAATTAAATATAAAACATTACAAAAATTTTGATAAAAAATATTTGATAAATGAAAATCAGAGTTTAAATTTAAAAAAATATTTAGTTTATAATTATTAAGAAAATATATATATAACGATTTAAACAAAATCTATATTTATTTCAACCTTTGAAAAATTATCGAGAAAAGTCATTGAGTGGCAACAGTATCAAAATCTTCTGTGACCGTATATTGTACATACTTAATCAAGTTTGAAATTGGGTAAGCACATAGAGTGTGGCTGAAACTTCAGAGAGACACAACATTCTATCACTCGCAGTAGGTAAATTAATAACTTAGATGGTTGTAAAAGTCAAGATGGGATGATAAATGTTTAATTATGAATCCCAACTCGATACACAATTAGATATGTGTATTTCGAAATAAGACTATTCTGATATATTCAAATAAATAAATGTTGTAATTTTATTTAATTTTTAGCTGCAAATTTTGATAAATGCAAACGTGATGAAAATTTCGATAAATGCCTGGTGGATGCAGTTAATAATGCAATAGTCATATTGAAAGATGGTAAATACGATTTGATGTTATTAAATATTTTTATAATTACAATTACATAAAAAAAAATAATACTCGCAGATTAAATATACATTTTAGATATATATATTAATAATCATTATATATTTTATATAATACTAGGAAACAAAGAGTTTGGAATACCACCTTTAGAGCCATTGGCTGTAAAATCTCTTGTAATCGAAGCCGGCAATGCACCTATTAATCTTAAACAAACACTTAAGAATGTACTTGTACATGATATGATATCAACTAGTAAAGTGCAACGTTATAGGTAAGCTGTTAGAGTTTAAAAAAATTCGAAAATACATATATTAAACTTAATATTTAATATATTTACTTAATATTTATGTAGAACCGATTTGGACAATCATTTAATTATCTGTGATAGTATAACTTCTCGTATCGAAATGGTTGGACAATATGAAATGTCGGGAAGAATTTTACTATTGCCAATCACAGGCAGTGGTAAAGCTAATGTTACGCTAGTAGATGCAAAAATTGAACATCGCTTAATCGGCGAACCTTTTGAGAAGGATGGTGTGAAGTATATGCGGTTGAAAGAGTATCGCGTCAATTTCAGCCCAAAGCGTGTTTATCTGCAATTTGATAATTTATTTAACGATCGCTTACTTTCACAAACTATGAATCGATTTTTAAACGATAACTGGGAAACAGTTTTCAATGAGCTTAAAGTTGGATATTCTAAAAGTTTTGGTATCATTTTCCGTGATTTGTCTAACAAACTATTTGAAAAAATTCCTATGGACTCAATATTTTTAAGATAAATTTAACTAATCCTTATTGAAATTAATATCAGTGATTATTTTTAAATGTTATATATTTAAAATATTTAAGCTATAAGTGATTTATAAATGTAAATAAATAAAATTAAAAATAATGTTTTTTTTTTGGTTTTAATATGATTTAATGCACTATTAAGGTTTAGCATTAGAACTTCAGAGATCAATTGACTCATTGACTTAAAGTGAAAAATTGTTTTTACCTTTACCTTGAAATGAGCATGATAGAGCTAAAAAGTTATTGGCATTTATTCTTATGCTTTTATCAGATATCGACTGTTAAAATATACGCTATATTATCACAGTTAGGTAGATAATGTAGACTCTGAAATCTTTTTGAAATCTTGTATAATACGTGTAACTCCATAGCTAATTCATAGAATACTTGTCTGGCAAGTTAAGTCTTTTCTCATTATCCAATATTCAATTCTTTCCAGTAATATAGACAATATACCCAAAAATTTGAGTGATTCTTAATATTACTCCATAAGCTTTATAATTTTTTTAATTCATTTATTATTATTTTTAATTCCTCTACAATTTATATACATAAATTCAATAAAAATATTTTAAAAAAAATAAAAATATTATCACCGATAATGATATATGCATTGGCACTCTTAGTAGGAGCATACACTGTATTTTCGTTTATTGATTTAATTATAGATGGTGATCATGAAATAGCTGTGAATTAGCTCTATAATAATAACTAATCTAATTCGTTGCTTCTTGTTTTTAAAATACGTTTTTCAAAATTAAGTATTAAGGATGTCCTGGAGCTCTATATCATTATAAATTAAAAACATATTAAAAATAATGCAGAATTATAATTCATTTTGAAAACAACACATTTCGAGTCCTGCACAACTTCCTGCCGTTTAAAAATAGATTGTGAGTCTCGGTTTCGACTTTACGTATGTAAAAGTCGGAAATCAAACCTTACATACTATAAGAAAAGGGGATTAAATTCTCTTTAAATATTTTTGTAATTCGAAATTCAAATTAAAAATTTTTTATCATTGACACTGAGAAGGTAAATATCCTTTCTGGTATGAAGAACTTGTTTCAAAGTTATGAATCCTCAAGAATGTAGCTCTACTAAGTGTTAAGTTATAATTGATATTATCACAGGTTTGTACAATATTATACAATTCCCTTTAAAATGCTTTAATTACATATGAAAGAGTTAAATATTTTGCACTCATTTTAATAAGATAAAGAAAGTAGGTCAAGAATGTTTACTTTAAACGTTGTTTTAGGTAACATGTTAAAAAAATACATGTAGTATGATTTTATTAACTGAAGCCCATGACTGTGTTTTGTAGCAATATATAATGAACAGATTTAAGTTGAATGCAAAAAAATCAATAGTTTATTACTATAACACTATAACGAAAAGCACCGGTGATCTCAATATTTTCAGAGCGCTGTATTATTGACACTATATTACTAATAATATGAATTTTATATTAATATGAATTATTATGAGTAAATTTTATAAATATACATTAAACATATAAAGTTAAAAAATGTACTTATTGTAAAATATAAACATTATTTTTTTTTTGTTTCATATATATAAAGAATAAAAAAAATTTTAAATACTATAAAGCAAATTTAAAAACAAACACTGTTTGTTAAAAACAATTTATTTGAAAAAATTTTAAATAAAATTATGTTAACAAGTTTTTCTTGATTCGTATATATTAAAAGTTTTTATCGTTACATAGTTTAACATTACGTTACTGACCAGTGCTTATGTTATAAATAAAATTCGCACTCTGAAAATACAACATTGCTACTCACCCTCACCTTTTAAAATTCCGTACAACATTCCAAAAATGTATCAGTTGTTTTTTATACGTGAATGGGTGAAAATAGTGTCTTCGAACTGTATCAGTATACATTATTAGAATTATTAATAAATTATTTAACTTTATTTACTTAATATTTAAATTATTTTAACTTAATGTGATATAGTAAAAATAGTTTTTATTTTATAAGTTGACGAATCAAGCAAAAATTATTCATACTTCGTATGAATACAAAGCGCAACAACAACAAAAAGAGAAAATCATATTGTCTGTTGGCAATTGCATTCCATGCAAAAATACACAAACGTGAAAGGTGAAATTTCTTATTTAAAATGACTAAGTGAAATTTGTTAAAAATAGTTAAAATTGTGTATTGTTATGTTCTAAAATGACAACTGTATTAAGTTAATAATATAGTAGAGATTATTGTTGTTTATTTTGTTATTATAGAAAAAAATGAAAAAAGATATATGAAAAGCTGGCTCTCTCGTTGTTTTCATATTTTCTTGAGAGCCTTTTCCAGGCACAAGTGTTACCGTGTGTTGTATAAAAAAGTGTAGTAAAATTGTCTGATTTGTTTTTGTTTATGTATAAAATAAACAAAACAATAATGATAAAGTGAAAACAAGAAAAATACTTTTAAATATTATTATAAATATATACACACACATAATGCAAATATTCGCTATGTAGAATGGCACTGAAGTTATCTTATCTGTAAGACATTTTCTATGAGAATAACCAACGCAAATGTGAAAACATTAAAAATCTTCCGAACTCTATTGAAGCTTAGTAATTTTTTAATTAAAGAAAGTAAATATTAAAACTACCTGTGTTTATATTTGTTTGTGCAATCGTGCAAAATGATTAGATTTTGATAATATTTTTAACAGTAATTACAAGCAAATTGTCGCCCACTGAGATAATAATGCTTCGACTTTTTAACTGTAAACTGACATTGGAATATTATTGTTTTCTTTTTGTTGTGAGAATTTTCCTTCAATACCGCAATTTCCAAGTCAACAACCAGGCATGATACTGTTTTGTAAGTGGCATGGCTGTTGTTGTTGGTGTTATTGCTATTGTGGGAAAGTCGGAAAATTGCAATAGTGAAGGAACAAAAAGAAAAAACTCATATTTTTCACCCAAATCGAATTAGTGAAAATTCACCACCGTCTAACACATAACGTACTAAAATTTTATTGTTGCAAATTATGTTATCATTTTTTAGTAATTAATGACTCAAAGTAAAGTTATATATAGCAAAAGGCATACACATATTATTTAAGTCAACCGATATTATTTATAACTACTAAAAGAAATATAATTATGGAGTATATATATCACAACTTAAATACACAAACCGCAGACAATAAATTTTCGCAAATAAGATTTTGTGACAACGCCTTTTGAATTTTTAAAAACATTTAACGTTATAAAAAAGTTAATATATAATTCTTATCTTTCAACATTTATTTGTAGGCGCAATAAATAATAAAAATAAATTATTACACATAAACAAAAAATAGACTAGAAACGCAGGTCTACGTACGACATTGTATTCAGTGGCTATTACACTGCATGTGGAGTCCAACGCTGCTGCTGCTGATTTTGTTGTAGTTGTTGGAGTTATCAATGTAGTTTGGTTTGCATGAGCATCAGTTAACCAAAATATGTTTAATTTTATGAAAAAAGGCGTGTCTGTCGGTAGCGGGAGCGCCAGTGATCGTGATAAGGCCGAGCGCGAGGAGAAGGAAAAACGTAAACGTGAGAAAAAACTACGCAAAGAGGCTAAAAATGCTGCGGGGGGTAGCATGAGTACAGAGGAGCTATTACGTTTAGATGAGGTATGACCAAAATTCTATAAAATTTATATTTTACCATTTCTAAATTAAATGTATTATATATTAGGTGCGTCGATCCCTAAAAATTCGTGGACGTCGCAAAGAGAAGGAAAAGTTACCAAGCGGTATAACTGCAGATTATACTGCAGACTTTTTTGCTGCTTTAAATGCGGACACATCTGGTGCTGGCAATGGTAGCGGAACTGATTATGAATTAGATCGTGGTAATGAAGAAATTGTGGCATCTGTGATGACAACTATTGAAAGCCGACAAAACGGTGCAAATTCTGGTGGCTTAGCACATTCCATGTCAGGTGGCAATTCAAAGGTTCGTTAAGAGTTGAAAAAATGCATATTCATAACTTAAAGCAAGCTGTTAATGTCTGTATTAAAATCGTTAGGACCTTGGAGTATTGTTAGGTTATTAACATAGCTATATACAAAACAGTATCTAACTAGTGGAAATAAAATGTATGTCGTTATTAATTTCTATATTAAAATTATTCTAGATTCTGAGCACAGTTTAAAAACAAATTTAGAAACCAAGCCAAATTAGTAAATTTGTATTAAGAGTTTAGTCCAAATTGCAATATTAAAATTAAAATCATTTGAATCGATGCCGATTGGTTTTAAGAATAAATTGTCAATCATCACCCATCACTTATCTACATCCTCACCAATGTATTCCTCTTGCAAATCTTTTCATGTTATCTGCTGTCTAGATTTCAGCGGTTTAGAACAACAACAAGAGTAAAGTGTGATTTTGATCATTACAGTTATGTAGCTGTAAAGATTCTTATTCTTATTAGTTTTGATTTTAACTTACAACTTTTAAATGAGTAAATTTTAATATTTAGACTACATACATTATTTTAAATTTTTTTAAAAGTATTAATATATATTGCAATACCAACAAAATAGATTTTGCATGTTTTGTGAAATTCGTCAAAAATCTTGTTAATATTTCTAATTCTATGCTGCGAAGATTCTAAATCTCATTAATTTTAATTTTAACTAATAATCTTTTGAATTCGAAAACTTTAATTCTTTATATTCTTGTTGTAGCTAACGAATATCGGTAAAGCAGATAACATGACAAATACCATACATGGGTTTGGATATGGATGGGTAATGATTGTATGAGAGGGGAGGGGATTAATTTTTATACTCATCTTACATTATTATAAGAATTCTCCAAAAGAACTTATATATATTACAAAATCTGTAGAACCGAAAGACATGTATATTTTATTATATTGTTGTCATAATATCTTTTTTTTTCCTCCAATGTACGAGAGATCAAAAATTACTTAAGGCTGCCATACCATGCCGCCCTTTCTACAATTTCCTATTTGATTTCCATTAACAATGACAATTATGTATTTCTACAATTACATTAGTCAATTAGTCAATTAGTCAATTAAACTATTCTTACGGGGCTAATCTCATTTGTTTTTCCAAAACGATACATAAGATGGTCTGTTTTCCAGAATTTATCCGGAAAACATCATTTTCTTAAAAAATGATATTTGGTAAATATACTTACTCTCTTTAATATTTTAAAATCGACATCTCTTATTTAGTACTTCTATAGTTATTGTATAGAGCATACGTTCTTTAACATTAGTGAGAATAATGAACAATTATCCAGTTTTGCTTATAGCTTTATATAAAGATTATATCCGTTTTTAAATGAACTATAAGTTCAGTTTAATAAACCCAAGCTGAGAATATATCAATAATATGTATAGATTTTGATATAGAAAAGAAACAATATGTAATGTGTAATAAGATTCTGTTATGTGGCGATGATGCAATATAAAATCATAAAACAATGATAAAAATTACAAAATTATATCAATTGTTTAGATATATGTTAAAAATTTATGTTCTAATTAAACTAATTGAACTATAAAATCAGCTTAATAGTTCAACTATCATTTTCATCATAATAAACTGACTTAATTTCAATAATAATATCTTGATTTTTTTGTTTCAAATTTCAGTATCGGATTTTGCCGCCTGTTCCTCCTAAACCGCCTAAACGTGGCATATTAAAGGGTTCGCGTAGTAATATAACAAATATACATGAAGAAATAACAGTCGCATCGCCCGAGGCCCAAATGTTGGTAATGCGAAATACTATGCAAAATGAGCAACTATTTATAGGTGGTGGTATATATAATGCTGGTAGAGCTGGTTCTATTGGTTCTGCTTCAAGTCAACAGGGTGCTACTTCCTTCACATCTGTCGAAAGTTTACGTAGTGATGAAGGTATTCCACAGCGTGCTATGACATTGCCTGCGAGTGCACGATATATAAATCAAATGCAATCACCACATGGAAATTTACATGTTCTAACATCACCTTCACCAAGCGCTGATAGTCTTACAGATACCACAAATTCTTCATTTGCCACACCGCCATTTTCATTAAGTCCGATCGGTGAATCACAGGGTATTGACCGCTGGTCGCGTGTGCATAATTTTGAAGATGTAGATTTACCACTGCCAGCCATTAAATTGGTACAACTACCACAAGCACGTGAATTGGTTATAAGACGACAAAAATCACCAAGACAAGATTTTGGTTTTAGTCTGCGTAAAGCTATATGCTTGGATCGTTCTGAGTCGCTAACATCACCTGTCTTTAAACCAGTTATTTTTGCTGAACCTGGTGCGGGTGGTGGCGCAACCGGCTTGCTACCAGGTGATCGTTTACTTAAAGTGAATGGCACTTCAGTTGCCGACTTATCACGTGAGATTATTATTGAAATGATTAGAAATAGTGGTGATTCAGTTACAGTAGAGGTAAGTTTCACCGTTGTTATTAGAGATAAATGAATATAGTATAACAACATAAATTCTTTTATAATAGGTGCAACCTGTTTCTGAATTGGTCGAATTAAGTCGTCGTTGTATGCCACCAACCGATAATAAAGATGATGAAGTAGATCAAGCTGTTGTAGCGGACAATTGTAATACTTTAAAACGAAGTGCGAGTAAACGATTTAAACAACATGTGAGTTTTACATATTATCAGATTTAGTTTGCTAGATAGTGTCAAATTCATTTAAGATAAAGTGTGCATGCGGCACGATTCCGTTCACTATGGCACGCTAATTGTACAATAGTTAATAGATTTCTCCATTATGCTATATGTCAGTATAGCATAGTTTTATACATATGAGATATGTGTTTTATTGACTTTTAGTCATTAGCTCCTAAATAAGTCAATTTATGTTTAAAATTTTTGCCGTTAGTAAACATGTCTAACTTTGGTTCATATATTTCCGATATGAGAGGTTTCGATGTAATTTTCTTCGGTACACAATTTGCTTCGTGATAGAAATTTTACAAGTAGATCTCTGCGGGTTACAATAACAACATTAAAAGTTGTTGATGATGTCATCTAATAAGTGAAATGGCAAGTCTCTTCAATAAGACCAATAAAATATGCTTAGCTCTACCTTCAACTATTTTTGATTTGCAATTTAAACTCGAAACTACAAGAAACACATTTTAAATGGTTTGTGCCCGATATCTTGTTCTTGATTCACAGGCTACTAATAAAATAAAATCCGATTTTTACGATGTTCTTTATATGGCTATTTCAAAATTATTTAAAGAATATTTCTTTATTAATAACACTTTTTTTGCAAATATAACAAGAAGATACATCGATATTAATAGAATCATTGATAAAATGTAACAATTTCTTGATATGCTCTATTGCTGTGATGGCGAACCTTTTCATAGACGTGTGTCAAATAGAAGAATTATTTATCTTAAATTTTTAGGGATCTGAATATAGAAATATTCGTGTATTTCATAAGAAAACCGATAATAATAGAATCCTTGATAAAATGTAACAATTTCTTGATATGCTCTAGTGCTGTGATGGCGAACCTTTTCATAGACGTGTGTCAAATAGAAGAATTATTTATCTTAAATTTTTAGGGATCTGAATATAGAAATATTCGTGTATTTCATAAGAAAACCGATAATAATAGAATCCTTGATAAAATGTAACAATTTCTTGATATGCTCTAGTGCTGTGATGGCGAACCTTTTCATAGACGTGTGTCAAATAGAAGAATTATTTATCTTAAATTTTTAGGGATCTGAATATAGAAATATTCGTGTATTTGATAAGAAAACCAAATCGAAAAAAATGTTCGTATAAGTGTAGGTTAAAACAAAAATGTCCATAAGTTCCATAGGTTCTATTGCATTATTTTGTTTTTAATTTATAACAATGATTTTTTAAGTATGTACCGTTAGGTATTGTTTTTTATATATTCGATATTATATGTAAAGAAAACTGTTTACTAAAATGGACCTCCACGTCTTTGTTTTTTGGAAGTCAGAATATTTTCGTCGGTTTCGTCGGTTAAGTCGGTTACTTTGTTTACTTCTATTGGCATGAATTTAAAAAACCATCAAATATTTATGTAGTGGAAGTACCGCTAAAAGATTCTTACAGAATTTAGATTGATTCATATATCACTTAAGTTAAAAAAAATTCTTAACAATGTTTTTTAAATTTAAAATTGTTATTAAATTTAAGAAATTAAAATTAACAACGTTTTAAAAAACATATTTATCGTGGAACCTATTATTTTTTAACATATAATAATATAACCTGTTGTTGATGCCATATAAATTTGTCTGAATGACAGTAATGTTTTTAAATTTTAATTCTTGAATATAATCAAAAATGTTTCTTTTGGCCCTTTTATTTATTTTATAAATATAAATATAACTTAAATTTGGTAACTTCTCTAGGTTGGGTTAGCACACATTTTCTTTGTAAAGAAATCGATAATCGTGTAAGCTGCTTACAAATGTACTAATATTAAAAATCTAAAGCTTGTAAAAGCTATTTTACAGTTATTTTCATTGTAATGTAAAATTTATAATGTTTGTAAGTAGATAATTTTTTATATGGTCTTCCTTATATGACAGAGAGGTTTATCTTTTTCAATTTCGGTAATAGTGATTTGTTTTGTGCCTTATTTTGAATCTTTATTCATTTTGTATGTAGGAAGGTAGGTTTTACAAGATCCTACCCAATTTGTTTAAATATGTAAAAATGTAAATTCATCAGTAATCGTTATTTTTAATTACCAAAAAACTTGTGATGTAGAGAATGTCGTGTATAAGCTTCAATAATATTGAAATCTTATATTAAGTTTAAAGATTACATATTATTCAAAAGATCGACCAGACAAATTTTTCTAGCAATTCCATTGCTATTCGAATTAGTCTTAGTTTAATTCTTCAAAACTAACCTAAATCATGTGAAATTATTGAAATCGGTTTAGTTTACTCCATAGCCTACATATATACCGAAAGATTTAAATTAAACTAAATTTAATTAAAATTGATTTATATATTAGGTCGGTTTAGTTTTGAATATAGATTCCTCAACACTGATCGTTAATGGTTAATAAAACGGATTCCAAATTTTGTTATACTATATTTTATTATCACAATTGGTGCAGATTGGCTTATATACTACATAAACATATTTAATTTATCTAAATGTTTTCTGAATTAACAAAATTAAATTTAATTTAATTAAATTAAATTAACAACTTCTCTAGTTTTCCTTGATAAAACTAGTGACTATAAAGCTTCCTCTTCTCTTTGAAGAGTATATAAGCGCGTTTACCATATATCCTGAGATAAGATTTAAGATTTTAAGTTGTATATTTGTGATATTCGTTAGGTTTCTTTTTCTATAAGTTTTCATAATAAATAATTATAAAATAGATTTGAGGAAAAGGCTTAGAAAGTGTTCGTTTGTTTATTTTTCTTCCTATTTTCTTTCTTGTGTAAATCTGTTAAAGGTGGTCCTAGAAATATTTTTTTTCTTAATCAGTAAAATATTGTTCTCTTTTTTAAATTTTTTTTTATTCTTATAACATAATGTAAGATAATATAACCTTTGTTCTAGATTAAGTAAAGTATTAACAAAAATAAACTATTAAGTGAAATGAAGTGTACCTATTAAAATATCTTCTCATAAAGTGCAAATATTATTCTTCTAAAATGGAGAAATATTAACACGTATTGTTGAGTTTTGTTTACAAAAATATTTACGTATTTATATACTTTGACTTCTTGCGAATATTGGCTTCATTAAATTGTAGCAAATATTTGCATAAATAACTTGTCTCTAATACGTTTTGTGCTTGTTTCTGTCTTAGCAAGAAAATTTATTTAAGTCTAAAAATGAAATAAAGTGAAGCCAAAAAATTAACAAAAATAAAATTAAATACAAAAACTGCAACAAAAATAACATTAAAGAAAAATTAATTTCGTATTTTTATCAAATAAAGGCGTGTGCGGTTCGTTGGCTTAAAATCACCTACAAAAAGCATTTACGGGCTAAACGCACCACCCGTCTTTTCAGATACATCAACACTCAATATATGCACTCTGTCTTCATATAAAAAGATACAAATCTGAAAGACCACGTGCTGCACCTAACATTGTAGCACCCGAACTCGAATTGTAGCGTGCAGAACGAGTTATGTGTTATGTATATAATTATTAATAACTCCAAATATATCTTTTTATTATGCAACCAGTAGCGGATTAATGTACTTTACCTCTTGCAATACTTTTGCATTTATTAGTGTCATACAATTCTCTATTTTAATAGCAGTAATATAATTTTAAAAGTCAGGGTTAAACCAATTAATTTGCTAGAGTCATCGGATTATAATTAGATTTTCACTAACTACATACTGCTGCTTCAAAGCATACTGCTTAAATAATTTCTAAAACTATATTACTGAGCGCTTCTGAATGTATAATTTAACTAAAAAATGTTTATTGTTTTTAACAAGTCATTATTTTTAAAAGTATAATTGCAGTTCATTATATTTACCAGTAAAGGCTAAAGGGTCTTTCATAATTTTTTTCGTTTATCGTCTTTTATAACATATGTATAAGTTAAATATAATATAATAACTATTAAATATAATAACTATTAATTAAAATGAAACTTTTAAAATATTTAAAAAACAGTAGGTAATTTGAGAATTCCTATTTTATTTTTGTATTATAATTTTTTATTATAATTATTATTTTTTTTACCAGTTTACAAGTTTCTCTCAGCTACCTTCTAGATAACTATAGTTAACAGACTATTATTAAGAATTTATTCTAAATAGACCGCAGTGCAAAATTCTATTATAATCTGCTTTTACTTGTGTAGAGCATAGTGCCTATGCACGACCTGGTCAATAAACAAATGGTCATATGTTATGATAAGTATAATATCTGACGATATAATATTTAATATAATATATATATTAATATAATATAATAAATAATATCTTACTAATATGTTAATTACCAAAACTATGACACGTGTTTAAAAAATTTTGTATTCAACATATAATTAATCATTAATAGTTTTTTATTGCCATATATGAAATAATCTCAATTAAATTTGATACAATTTTACTAACAACGCTTCAATATCTCAAATCTTCGTAAAAAATGCACTGCATCACAATTTACAAAATATCCATCATAATCTCTTCATCTCTTCTTCTTCATTTTCATTTGACGATAATTTTTTATTATTATATATATTGAATATAATTTTCCTGTAGAAGATAATTTATTCGTAATGAAATTTGTGAATTTGGGACATGATAACTGAGAAAGTGTCAAGCGGTTATTTTGGTGATATAAAAAGGATTTTCTTATCAAATGGGAACTCTTTTCAATTATTACATTGTTAAATTTATATAATAATATAATAACAATAATATAATATAATAATAATAATAATTATATAGTATATTCTAGTTATTGTGTGGCCCTTCTCAAGATAATTATTTAGCAAGGTTGTTCCAAAAAACATTTGCCATGATCTTTTATGCTTCGTTTGGCTTCAATAACTGTAAAAAGTCTTAGAAATTATTAAACGATTGCGTGTTTAATCTAAAGTCAGTAAATGGGATAGCCAACGTGTTGAGATATTTTTTTGTGCATAAA